AAGATTAGCGATGCTGGATAAAACAATGCTCGCGGACGATTTGCATTGCTAAAGCCCTTCAGGGCTGAAATTTCCCATGGAGATGTTTTTGATGCGGGAATGTGATGAAGAAAGCGATTCGTTCGGCGACTTCAAGACCTTGGATTGCAATCTAGTTGCCCGGTGTTTGGAAATGGGCCTCTCTCTCTCCTCCGCCTGTGTTTCTCGCTATATATCATTGCTCGCCCCTTCACTTCTTTCATTCTATTGTCAGCCACTCCTAACTTCCATCTCCTGTTTGGTGTTCTCCTATTTTGCTTCGCCTTCAGTTTTCTTGCGATGGTCTTCACACCTCCGAAATGGGTATCGCCCCTCCCGAATCCGCCAGATAACATCCCACTTTCTGAGTTCATGCTCAATGAAAAGTATGGCCGCCATCCGTTGGAAGACTCGTATGACCCCTTCGTTTGCGCTCTTAGCGGAAAGTCTTACTCCACCGTGGAAGTTGCAAAACGCGTTGATGTCCTCGCACGGTCTTTGTGCAAGGAACTAGGCTGGCATCCAAATGAGGGGTCAGAATTCAGCCGCGTAGCCTGTATCTACAGCGTGAACACGGTATGTAGGCAATGGCCTATTCCTTTCTAGAAATAATACACCATCTACCACTAGCCAGCTATTCCAATCATTAGTATTGCATATATTGTTTGAGAAAAAAGAATTAAAACGTCATGGATTGAAGCTGATAGTCACCATATCTATGTAGATCGACTACTTGACTCTTTGTTGGGCCATCCATCATTGTTCCGGTGTTGTCTCTGCGGCGAGCGCGAGCTATACCGCTCCTGAACTCACGCATCAACTGAAGGATAGCGGATCCAAATCCATTTTCGCATGCGCTGTAAATCTTCAAATTGCCCTAGAAGCTGCAGCCACTGCTGGCATACCAAGAAGCCGCATTTATCTTTTTGATCTACCGCCTCAACTTCCATGTGGCGGGAAAGCACCGGATGGTTTTAAAACGGTGGAACAGCTCATTATAGAAGGTTCCTCGTTACCGCAGCTGGAGAAGCTTAATTGGCAGCCAGGACAAGCCGCAAAACAAGCCGCGTTCCTTTGCTACTCCTCGGGAACCTCCGGGCCGCCGAAAGGGGTGATGGTCACTCATAGGAATGTGATCGCCCATGTATTGCAAATGAAGGAGTTTGAGGCGAGGGTTCGCAACAGCTTGAAAGCCCCTGGGTCCCGATCGGACTACAAAGATGTGGTTCTAGGCCTACTGCCCCAAAGTCATGTGTATTCGTTGGCGGTGATTTGCCCATGCTGGACCTTATCGTGGCGACAAAGTGGTCGTTCTCCCCAAATTTGAATTTACGCAATACCTCAATGCTATCGAAAAGTATCGAATCTTGACCCTTTACGTGGTACGGTTTATTTTCCTCTCCCTTAAAGGTGCTTCTGTGTTAGTAGCGAACTATTCCTCCACTCAAATTGCTAAGCTTAGCTCTCCAGGTTCCTCCGATCATTATCCTCATGTTGCAAAATAAGGTGCAATGTGACAAGCGTGACCTCAATTGTGTTTCTTCCATTTGCACCGGAGCTGCGCCACTCGGTGCTGAAACCATAGCAGATGTTAAACAATGGAGGCCTTCCTGGGTGGTTCGACAGGGCTATGGTAGGTCATCATTCGTGCAATCCTCTTTAACAATTTTAATTTAGCATTCATAAACCAGTGGTGTATCAAATACTGATCTAGGTCCAGGACTTACTGAAAATACTGCGGGCGTAGCCATCAGCAACAGCGATGATATTTTCCCTGGTTCTTGTGGAACCTTACTTCCAGACGTTGAAGTACGCCTCGTATCTCCCGATGGCGAGGAGGTAACCGGCTACGACCAGCCCGGCGAACTCGTCGTCCGTTCTCCATCTGTCACGCTTGGATACCTGAACAATGAGAAGGCGACCAAAGAAACATTCCGAGACGGCTGGATATATACGGGCGATGTAGGCCTTTTTCGCGTCTCACCCCTTGGTAATGAGCACGTGTTTATCGTCGACCGGGTAAAGGAACTTATTAAAGTGAAGGTGCGTTAATGCATGCCATGTTCCAACCCTCAATTGAAATTTTCTAATCTTCACGACAGGGTTATCAAGTCGCCCCAGCTGAGATGGAATCGCATCTCCTCTCACACCCCGCTGTTGCCGATTGCTGTGTGATATCCGTCCCGGACCGCGTCGCGGGAGAGCTGCCAAAGGCATTCGTCGTAAAATCTCCCTCCGCAGGTAACGATGATGCGGCTATCATAAAGTCAATTCAAAAGTATGTGGAGGATCACAAAGCGCGTTACAAGTGGTTGAAGGGAGGTGTGGAATTTATTGAGGCCATACCTAAAAGCCCTAGTGGGAAGATCATGAGGCGGGTATTGAGGGACAGGGAGAAGGAGTCGAGAAGGAAAGCTGGATTGAAATTGTAAACTATTTCCTTCTTGGCTCTGGCTGAGGTTTTTCTCTTGTTGGTAGCTGACATTTTTGCCCATGAACCTAGCGACTTTGTTGGGCTCTTATGGGCCGGGAACGATATTTAGTGGAATGTAATCACTTTCGAATCACTTTCGAACTATAAGTAAATCAGGTCAGTGGTCTCCCTGCATTGGCTATTTCTTTGCTGGCATGACACCGTGAATCATTGGAGGGATTAGAACGAACAATCCTTACTCCGTATATACACACTACACATGATAATGCTACACAGAGTAGCTGTCACAACACTTCCCGCCACCACGCATGGATGCATACAAAGCTGCTGGAAATGGGGTTTATGCCTTAGATGGCATTCCTGCTTAACATCAAATTAGGAAATCTTATCCAGACTTAGATAACGTATTTCATTAAGTCATGTGATATAGTGAGTTTGAAGAATGCATGTGCAATATTGCTTCTATATAGTTCTTGAATAGCTCTCTCTGATATGTACAATCTTTTTTCTTTTTCTTTTCTTTCTTTTCTTATCTTTCTTCCGTACTCCAGTTGTACAGAGCCTGTGTACAATACCTAGAAATAACTTGCACCTCTACATTGGTGTCTGCGACCAAGTAACCTACGTTATATCGTGAAGCTAAGCAAGCCAATAATAAGGGACTAGCAAATAGAGTTTAATATCACATGACTTAGTGCACAAGTTGAAATACATACGTTACAGAGGTGAAATTAGCCCTATCTCCGCAAGAAAGCGGAATCAGTTTTTGTGTGTAGGTTAATGTGAACTCAGCAACGAATAACTACCGTGTATAGGACTGGGGTATAGGACTGGGTCATTCACGGAAGACCCGTTGAACCCAAGAAGAACTTGAATTTAAACAAACGGGGTAAGTACTAAACAACGATGATATCTGACACTGGACATATGTGTGGGATTAGGCTCTATGGTACGTTATGCAATGGTAATGAGTGGGCAATAATGCAAGTGCACAAGGTTGTCGTCCTCCAGCCCCATCACATGCTCCACCGTGCCCCAATCAATCTTTCTAGTGACGTTGGTTTGGATTTCTAAGCCAATGATGACCACCTTTTTTTTGCTTCAAAGTGCCCATTGATTAGAAGTATTGATGGAGTTATCGATGACTTTCTCCTGGCTTCTTTTCATAACCGATTACAATAAAAAGGGTTCTCTTCTCTACATACACCGAGATCGGATATGGCTACCTAATATCGCCGCAATCAGCAAAAGCGCGATCAAATCTCTTCAACCGGCTAAACCCCTCTGACCCTCTTCCTCGATTACAACCCCTCCCAACTTCTTTCTTTTACCAATTCAAAATGCCCCCTACTCAATTTCCTCATCCTAAAGAGGCTCTCGACAACGGAAATGAGGAAGACCTCTTCCTTGATGCCGCAGACGCTGCAGAAGAGATTCCCGCCGATGAGGACCAACCGATGGACGACCTCTCGGACGACGGCGACGATGGAGAAGAGATGTCATTCCAAAACGACTCTATCGCTCATTTCGATCAACATAACGACTCCGTATTTTGCATAGCTCAACACCCCATCCATCCCAATATCATAATCACAGGCTCAGGCGACGATACTGCCTACATATTCAACTCCGATGTGGAGAGACCACTGCTTCCGACTAGCTACGAGTCGAATCCGCAACATAAGGGAGAGCGCGAGTCATTACCCGTCATCGCAAAGTTGCAGGGGCATACGGATTCAGTGAATGCAGTGGCTTTCACGGAGCCGTGCGGGGAGTATATGGTTACTGCAGGATTGGACGGGAAACTTCGCGCATGGTGCGACACAAGTCCCGGGAAGGCCGGGCTATCCTGGAGATTTTTGGCCGAGGTGCAAGAGGTTGATGAGATAAACTGGGTGGCTACGTGCCCAGTGAATCGGGCTGGTGGGAATGAGGAAAAAAAAAATCTTGTCGCACTTGGCGCCAGTAATGGGAGCGTTTGGGTATACCGGATCGACGCACAAGATGAGGCGGAGCCAATGTCTATGGTTGCTTGTTATTTCCAACATACAGAATCCTGCACCGCTGGCGCGTGGACCCCTGACGGAAATCTCCTGGCGACGGTTGGGGAAGACGCATGCTTCTACGTCTACGACGTATTTGGCGCCGCTGCTGGGGCAGGAGTAGCCTCATCCGCTGGAACACAGGTAGTTGTGAGTCTTACGGCCCAAGATCAACGATTTGCCGTCGAAGGCGGTTTATATTCCATCGCCATCGCACCTACGGGCACTTTTGCTGCAGTCGGTGGCGCGGGGGGACATATTAAAATTGTTGGACTTCCGCGGATATCCTCATCAATTACGGCTGGCACGGCCAAGTCGAAATCGAAATCGAAAGCTGCTGGTGCTTCTGTTGCGCCCGTCGCTGGTGGCGGCGCTGGCGCCGCTGGCGCCCTCCTTGCGTCTCTTCAAGCCCAAACTGATGGCATTGAATCATTATCATTTTCCTCCCCGCCGCTGTCGCTACTTGCAGCCGGCTCAGTCGATGGATCCGTTGTCCTTTTCGACACAGCCCACCGCTATGCTGTACGACGCCATATACGATCGGCGCATGAGGACACAGCTGTTGTAAAAGTTGAGTTCGTCCATGACCAGACAGCAGCCGGTGAACAAACGGCATCCGCTGCTGCAAACAATAGCAGATCGTGGCTCCTTACGTCAGTAGGCATGGATGGAGTTGTCCGCCGTTGGGATACCCGTGGGGGTACTGCTGCTGCTGGGTATGGCCTTGTGAAAGAATGGCGTGGCCATTTGGGTATGGCTGAGAATGAGGCGGGAGAGCAATCTGGTGGGATCTTGGGATTTGTACAAGGAGGTGAGGGCGGAAAGAGGATTGTCACAGCTGGGGATGATGGGGTCGTGTTGGTTTTTGAGGAGTAGATGGCCTGTGCATTCTGAGTAATTTAGGAGCAGAACCTATGTAAAATTCTATTAATCAAGAGCTACGCCTTTGGCATAGAACAGAATGAAGCTGATAGCTTTTATGATTGATGGTATTGTATGTCATTTTCAGAGCTTGGTTCGGATTTAGGATACGCGATTCAGCTTTTGACACCCCTGCACTCTGTAAAGGTGTTAAACTTCTAGAGGAAAAAAATCTGCTTGGCAGGAAAATTGAGACCTGCCACAGACTGAAACTTCCAAACCACTTTTGCTTTGGTGGAAATGAATAAAAGTAGATATATCAGTTAAGGAAATTGATAAGGAGAATAAACCCATAGCGCCTATTCCCAAACGTATTTATATATGTATGTACATGTTAAGCAGATTGTTGCCTTCACGGGATTTCAGACCACTCGAGCTCCGCAAACGAATAAATCCCGCTGCCTGTTTATGAAAACCCAACGTGCAAAAGTGAATGCCGAGGAATTATTGGGGGGGCCGGTGGTTCGTCGGGAAACCTCGAGAGATGCCTTGGGAATATCATCTTTCCTGTCACCAAAGGCTTCGGCTCAAACCCGGACCGCGCAAGTCGTATTGGTTCTAAAGTAGTAAAATGGATGGATGGTTCTAGTGGTGATTTTCCTCGCGATGTTTTGGTGTGAGAAAAGCCCATTCGTAGCCGCAGTATATTCCGAACGCAATAGTGGCTATTCCCAATCCTGGAAATCCAGTCTTAAATCGGTTCCACCGCGAGAAGGGCCCGGAGTATCGCCATGCTTCACTTTTTTTGGTGGGGAAAGAGTCAACTTCTGACGATCAAATATCGCTTCTACGTTTGATTGACCAGCAAAGAACATAGTAGATTGGCATCTGGAATGGATTGAGAGCTTACTATCGTGCCCATGGGTCTTTTTTGGCCCAGGAAGACTGAGGATGTGCAGCAGCTTTGAAGGTCTTCATGTCGAAGCCGGTGGGGTTTGCGGGAGCCATTGTTGAGTCCGTCAGTAGAACTCAAAAAACTGATGAGAGGACACTGGAGTTGATTAAACCGGACTATGATAAAATATGTTCTTAATCGATCCAATGCCGCTTTCGCGGAGAGTTCATGAGCTGTTGAGGAGATGAAATATCGCGGACGTGGATATTGAGTCGAGAAAGTTGATGGATGTGAGGAGCTAGAAACTAACTGTATCGGGTTAGTATTCCGACGCAGGGCATCCGAAGCTGGTCAAAGTCTTGGCGCTTGCTTGAACGAACTCGACTTCCTACGTCGGTTCCGGACAACGCAGAACATTGCGCAGATATCACACATACAGCCCCAGCAAAGTCGTTTCTCCATATCGTATCTATTATTGCAACTTTTGCTACTTACCTGTTGATTGTCTCAACCACGGCTTCGCGGTTCTGAATTCCCCCACTCCGCCGAGTAGTGGGACTTGCTGGGACAATAACTCTCCACACCAAAACCGTAGCTATCAACGCTTGTTGAAACCGGCTCAAGCAGGAATCTTCATGCTTTGTTCGACCTCGATCCCTCCCGTCATCGATTGGCATCGTGAAATACACTATGCCGCCGCCCGTCGGTAGATACGCGCCCTCAGGGCTCGCTGGTCCATTCCCCCATCTCCCTCAGAGCCACCTGCAACAGCAGCATTCGCAACAACATCACGCAACCCATGCGCAGACTCCGAATACAGGCCTTCCCCCGCCTTCCCTAGGTGGCCATCCTGGCTTTGGCCCTACGAGTGCAAGTTCAAACATAAGTCCGTTCGCCATACCTGGAGCTAATGGGATGGGCGTGGTGGGTTTCCCTGCGGGGCCTTCCACTGCTGGTATCCCTGATGGGGGCGGGACAGGTCTAGCGAGCCACGCGGCACAGATAGGTTTTGTGAGGGGGGCTCAGATGCAGCAGCAACAGCAACAGCAACAACAGGCGCATTTGGGCCATGACAACCGTCTATCCGTGGATGGAAAAGGTGCTGCTGCAAACTCGAGGATACGAGACGTTTGGAAACACAACTTGGCACAGGAGATGCAGGTCCTGAGGATATTAGTAGACAAGTACCCTTATATTAGCATGGTGAGTTGTGCCCTTGCTAGAAACCATGACTATTACCTTCGTGCATGCGCCGTAGATTCGTTCAAACTAACCGAGGTTTTTTGCCTAGGATACCGAATTCCCTGGTATTGTCGCTCGGCCGATGGGGACTTTCACTACAAAAGCGGACTATCATTACCAAACATTGCGATGTAATGTGGACCTCTTGAAAATGATACAATTGGGAATAACATTATTTTCAGAGGATGGCGAAGTTCCTCCCGCCCTACCACTGGATGTAAATACCCAATACGGGGCAAACCTCGGCCCAGCGCCTTGCACTTGGCAATTCAACTTCCGCTTCTCGTTGGAAGGTGACATGTATGCGCAGGAATCGACAAGCATGCTAGCGAAAGCCGGAATTGACTTTGCTATGCATGAGAAAAACGGCATTGATCCACACGACTTTGGGGCGCTTCTGATGACTTCCGGATTAGTCCTCATGGACGACGTACATTGGATTTCGTTCCATTCCGGCTATGATTTTGGGTATTTGATGAAAATTATGTTATGTAAACCATTACCGACTGACGAGCAAGAATTCCACAAACTCCTCACCATCTTCTTCCCATCCGTCTACGACATCAAATACCTCATGAAGCACGCCGGCCGCAGCCAAACTGTTAACAAATCTCCTCTCACTCAGAGCGCTGCTCAGATAATTGCAAACCTTGGCCAAAAATCTGGCCTCCAGGATATTGCAGATGAATTAGGGGTGAAACGAGTTGGTATAGCACATCAAGCTGGATCAGACTCACTAGTGACGGGCGAAATCTTCTGGAAAATGCGCCAGCTGGTATTCAATGGTTCTATCGATGAAAGCAAGTACTCGGGTCAAATCTGGGGTTTAAACGGGCAGGTAGCCTCCAGGCCTTTCCAAGGCACAAACCAAGCACAGCAAACTCCCAATCTCAACGGAGCCACCATCTACTCCAATGCAGGTACGCCAAGTACACCAAATACAGGCCACGCCGGTTTGACAAATGCGCAAACGCCCGCAGCTCAAACGCAACATGCCGGCGTTGGTCCATTAACGCCGGGCGGCGGCGGAGGAGTGTTTGGTACATTCCAATTTGCCAAATCGTGATCTTAGACTAGGAGCTTTTTCCCTAAATTTTCAGTATAAGTGAAGAAGTGGATTACTTCTTTAGTTGGGTCGGTTTAGGGACTGGGAATTCATTTCTTTCTTTTCGCATGGTATGTGGTTTTTACGCCTTCTGGGGTTCTATTTTATTATTGCTCTGAGGCATCCGATATTTTGATATGTATATTGTGTCTGGCGTTATGGCCACTTCGTTTTTTTAACCTTGTATTTGGTAATTTGCAATTCATTTGCAACTATTATTTTCCTGCTATCCTTTTGACGACGCGAATTGATCATTTCATCCTGTTCTGAAATGTTATGCGGCTATATTTTGGGGGCAATATGCAATTTCCAATGAATTCCCCGCAGATTCATCCTTTGCCCAGGGCCTCTGGAAGTTTGGATGTTATAAAGTCATATGAACAACACGAACTTCAGTATGATGTTCCTACAATGACTTGCGTAGACCCCTCAAGCGTCATGTCCAAAATGGTATTCATTACCTCCACACTCCGGGATGGAGTCCACCCTGAATTTTACTGACACTATGAACAATAAAACTAAAGATTCCGTTCTTGGGTTAAAGTGGGTATAAAAACGAACATCAATAAAACAAAGCTCTGAAAATGTAATGAATAAATAAATTATATAAATTATATATGCAAATATCATACATTTGGCCCCAAACTCATTGTCCTCTTCTATCCCGTCACGACCTCCTTCCCTAACTTCTGCTGGCGCTGCCTCGCAAAACCTACTTTTGGTCCCGCAGTGTCAAACACCACATATTGGCTCTTAAAAATAATGTCACCAAAAACAATCTCATGTATCGCTACCTGTATGCTACCAAAGCACATCGGTGAGCCCCCACTAACATAAAAGGGCTGTAGGATGATGTGTTCTGGAGGGATCGTCGCGCGATAATCATTTTCAACGATGAGAGAAAATGACGGGATATTGGCCTTGCATGGGAATATCCAGCCGTTGAGAAATGGATTTAGCTGGCTAGATGCTTTTGTGGAACCAGGTATTTTGGAATAGTAATCGTGTACGATGGGCTCGGGGAGGAGGACCATGGTAGTCCCTGTGTCTGCGCAGGTGAAGGGAGAGGTGTATGTCAGTCTATATCCCTGTGTGAATACCAAACCACACGATATTATATAGAAGATTTCCAATCATATATCGTAATTACCAAGAAGGCCCTTAATTGGGGTATTATTGCTACTGGAGTTTCCAATAACATATCCCGTGGAAGTAATAGACCAGAAACCACCTTTATGGACTGGGGTATACTTGATGTTGCCGTCGTATTTATCATCGTCAATAAAGCCGAAGTCGAACGTTCCCGGCTTGTTCTTCTTGAGAGATACGGCAAACAAGGGTTCGGGAAGTGTATCCTTCACATTATCAAAGAACCCAACTTGCTTCTCCGGTCGAACTGCATCGTACAAGCAAGTCAATATTCCCAATACCATTGAATAAATTAAAATATACTAGGACTAGGTTTTGGTTAAATACCCACCCGTATTAATAGAAAGAAAAGCGAGTCCAAGAATACCATCAAAATTAGAATCCAAAGTAAACATTTTGCCAACCCTCTGGGCGGCTTGGATGGATTGCAACGGCGAAACCACGTCACCGATGGAAACTTTATCAACATAGACATTGCCCTTTGCAACTGAGCTATCTCTATACTGTACCTCCCAGGAACACCCATTCAAAGGTAACGTTCCGGGAGGAGGGGTATAATAGTCGTGAGCTGACCTTTCTGCCAGAGGTTGCTGCGATGAAAATACCCAGCTAGACCAACGTCAGTCCTATTTTGCTTCGCGATCATATATCAGAAGCACTCACAGATCTGCAGATCCAGTATCAAGTACCAGGTTTAAAGTTTTTCCCGCAACATTCACAGGACTAAGGTATTCTATATCGAACTGTTCCGGGACGGCTGAGACAGTTCGATTTGTAGACCTCTCGTATTTCACATCCAGGGCGGTGCTCATGATACGCGGCGCACTTTTAGTTTCTTTTATGTGATTGGAACGATCCGACCTTAGAACGGCCTTCGCATAATCTTCCATTGGAGAACGCGGCGTTGGTCGGTATTTTGAAACTTGCTGGATCGAGAACCCGCTGCGTTTCTTGATAGGCTCAGAGCCGGCCAAAGTAGATAGCCACACAAACCCGATGCTGAGAGCCACCAAACACCTCATAATTTAGGGAAGACAAGCCCGACAAGAAAGCGTCGTTCTGGTTGCAAGAAATACTCGACCTACTTGAATCAGATACATTAGACCATAGTAAAGCTAGCAAGAACAACAGAAAGAACTTGGGATATAATATATGTATTATATCAAGCTGGCAGTAACTCCATGAGTCCTGTTGACGGTTCTCAGAGGCATACATACGGTCCGGGCATCAACATGCAATACCTGTATGGAGACAAGGAGGGAAATCAAAAGCACATCAATGTCCCAACACTGAAGTTCTCCACCTCATAACGTTCAAAATTAGAGTAGTGATGAAGAGATTGACCAATGATGCAAATTTGCGGCTCAGCTCGAGCGTGATAATCGCATATTCGACTGCAAGTTCCATATTCTCATTACAGTCTCGGGTTCCCTCCGAAGACCGGCTCATTAAGCGTTTTTAAATGAGAATAAGAATAGTAACAAGGATCCTGCCTGATCAAAAGGTCCCTAGCGATGTTGCGCCGCAGACATATCAGTACCATTTTACTTAGCGGCTCAATACCGCACCTGTACCTGCACAGAAGTACTGGGCGAGCATTGTGTCAACACTGCAGTTCATTAGTAGATGCTGTGTGTTGCAATAAAAAACATATGCATGCATGGGATCTTTGTCTCAGTAACTTGGAGTTTTAGCCCTAATAATAACACCCATCACCAGCAACAAAGCAGCTCTTGGAAAATCATTGATTCCAAGAACCTATCAATCCTCACCCTTGCTTCAGTGGACAGTCGAAAGAGCTGGCTGTGGGCTATTTTCTAATGTCACATCCAAAGTCTTCATTGATGGCCATAACGCACAATGAACATAGCTCAGTCGAGCGGACGTTTAGAGCTTGTTATGATATTTATCTTTCGATTCACGTACTTCTAGTGAAGCAGCATTGTCTCAGTTAAGCGCTCGTACATCGCCCAATAGCCGCTATTATTGAGTTTCTTTCATATTCAAATTCCATACATTGATTTTGCGCGGAACCTTCTATTTTCACAATAGAAGGAATCTTTTTGACATGGGGTCAAGATGTGCATGTGTTTTGGTGATGAAGCACAATATTGTCCAGGATTCATAATTATCCTCTCTCCTAGGGAGAAGGAATACCTTTCTTCTAGTTTCTTTCCGGAGGTTTGATATCCACTTCGAAACGGCAACGCAAGGCCACCTATCTTCTGCTGCGACTCTCCATCCTACCGACCAGGGGAGCGAAGGTAATCAACGACATGAACAGTGATCAGTGGCTGAGGCTTCGAGGGTTGCTGTGAACACTGCCCGAGTGAAGAGTCAAATGTAACTCGATCCTCAAGCAAAACAAATTTTGAACGTCCCCAAAGTGAATACGCCTTCATGGCATTCAAGCTTGAAAGCACTCTTACCCCCGAACGGTATGAAATTTTCCTGGAAACTTAGACCATTTCCCCTGCGAGCACTTTCCGAAAATACTGCATTGCTGGCACTAAAACTCGAAAACAAACGTGTTTTATATCCAGGTATTTCACCTTCAACACGTGGGGATATTCCAGCTTCAATTGCGCAAATAGCCACTTTATAAAGCTTCTCATTCCAGTCAAAGCTGATGTTGTGGAGCCGAATATTGAGATTCATACATCATTCCATCATTGCACTAGATTTTGCCTTTCATCATCTGTAACAAACAAATAGACAAGGAAATCTTCGACATCACAGCATGATTGCGAGAGCAACCTGCTACTGTGATTTATGCACCGACGTGGTTATAACTTTGGGAAAGCCGTGGGTCATATAGATGGGTAAAGCTACAATAAGGCTCAAATGAAGTGGTGACCTACCTTTAGTAGTCGCAATGGAATATCGGCCTCCAAAGCCGTATGTTGGGATATTTGTGCTCTAGTGATCGTTGGCGAGGAGTGAAATTATTGTTAGGCCACTGGGGCAAAAGAGCTCTCTCACACCAGCGCCATGCTGGTAGTAGAGGGGACGAACCAATCCAAACCTTATCTCAGCAAGCTCAGCCGCTTCGCAGGACTGATTTAATGATGAGTCACTCTTTTAAACAAGCTAATCTCAAATTGGTAATGAGCTAACCCAAATAATTCTTTGATCCCGTGATGTGCAATTATCCTGCGAAGCGTCTGAGAAAAAACGGTTCCAGTTTGTTAGCAACACGGGAACGATTTGCTCTATACCTTAGGCATGGGTGAGAATACCAAACCAACTCCATCTATTCAACATCTCTGTACCACCTTGGGACCTAGGAAAATCAATGTTCTCGCGATGGTATCAATTTTTATTTTCATATTCCCATTTCTTAGATATGAAGTACCACCTCAAAGTCAACTCATTTTTTTTTAAACACGGGAACAATCTGCTATTTACTTGATTTCAATCAGAAAAAAAGTGATCATTTTCAACAAGATACATCTATATTAAATATTGATTTTTTTAATATAAAAATTATATATTTATATTCTTCTTCTCTTTAGCTACAAGCTAAGGTGGTTCACAAATATCAAATATGTATGATGATTGTGTAATTGAAAGTCAAAGTTGAACAATTTGAAGAATCTATGAAAATCTCAACAATCTCCACTGAACCGTTTCTTCTCAGACCCTCTGACAAGGATTGCTCTGAGCACATGACTTGTAATTAAAGTAGTTTAGTGTCATGCTGCTGCAACAGGAGCCATAGAGGGTCTGAGCTCGCTGAGACAATCCAAACCCACCAACAATTCCAAGGTTATTGCCTGAGTCACGTGAAACATCTGAGGCCAGGTCGAAACTTTGGATGGACAATCTACTCCAATAGACAATCAGGAGTCGATAACCTATATATTTATGTCAATCGCCCATAATTGTATTTTCGTCCAACTGATCCTTGTTTCAAACGAAGCTAACCTGATCCATAGGACTGTTTCCGCGCACGATACTGCAAAGCTCTCCAAGGAAAGAGGCAAACGAACGAAACAATCGCTTCATCTATACACACCATGGCATCTCCTGGTGCCGATACCTTCACCCAATATCCCCTTCACCTCGACCCAACCTCAAAAGCTATCTCCGCTCCCTCATGCAACTCAGCTGTGCTAGACAGCGAACTCGAATCCCTAAACCGGCTCCACCGCGCTCTCCTCAACCTCGACAGTCCCAATACCCCCCCACCGCCAAAGCCAGTGAATCCCAAACGCAGCGCCCAAGTCGCTAAGCTGCGCGAGGCAGCCAACACAGCTTTCCGCAAGTCCTCCTTCGGCGAAGCTGTGAAGCTTTACACATATGCAATCGACATGGCCATAGGCAGACCGACATGGGAACACGTCGACCTCTTGCGCGAGGAGCTACCGCCGCTCTTTACGAATCGGGCGCAGGCCTATATGGCACAGCAACAATGGCCGGAAGCCTATGTAGATGCGAAATCGAGCGTGGAAATTATGCCCTCTAATAATGGGAAATCATGGTGGAGAGGGGGTAGATGCTTGATTGAGATGGGGAGGTGGCAGGAGGCAACGGAATGGATTTCAAATGGGTTGGATGCGGAGGGGAACTCCAGCGAAGCGGCGAAGGAGTTGAAGGGTCTCATGGTAGACGTGGAAAGAGGGTGGGAGAGGGAGAGGTCTTCGAGGGGATGAGCTAATGGGCGAATGAGATTGGCCTTTGTTCGTGCTTTTTGTATCGGCTTTGTTTCGGCTTTTGTTTCGATATTGACGGTTTTTGTTTCGTCAAATACTTTTCTGTCTGGTGGTTCGGGGACTCCTGAATTCTTGGCAGGGGTATTTGGCTCTTAATAGGTAGCTCTCTCTCTCTTATATATATCCTCCTGTCTTTAACGGCGTTTTGGTGATCCTAAATCTATTGGTGCTAATATCGACATTTTCTTCAGTTTGCGATGGTAAATAGCTGTAATGATTACCTGGCCAATGCGCACCCTGCGAATCACGTCTTCTTTCCTGCCTGGTCGTCCACTAACTCGACATGAAATTTCTTTCGTGAAAATATTGGCAAATAACTGTCGAGTAACTTGATCAATGTATCAAAAAAACAACCCCTTTGTAGCTCTTTACTACTACTGGTATTCAAAAGTTCAAAATTGGGATGCCCAAGAACAAAGCATATTGTCTAACGCATGTATCCGCCACTCGCTTTTCCGATCCGTCAAATTGCGTCCCATATGGTGTAGTGGCTAACATCAGCGTCTCTCACACGCTAGCCGGGGGTTCGATTCCCCCTATGGGAGAAATAATTCAATTTTTTTTTTGGGGGGGGGGCTGTTTCATTCCACCCTTGGCGATTGAATATCTGCGCTTACAATGGAGTACATACAGGATAACAAGGCTACCCGAACAACGAGCAATGCACTCTGCAGTCATTTTGGTAAATGAAGAAGGAAAGAAGAAGGGAAAAAGAGGTTTAGGAATCCCTCTTCATTCCGTCCCCCATAAACCAATACGGGCAGAGCAGAAGGAAGAAAAAGAAAAGCTCTCTGTATCGAGTGATAGAATAGGTAGTCAAAGCGTCCATTGAATCAAAAAGAGACCCAAGAAGCTACTAAGACATCATGAGTTGAAATATGCAAAGCGGGGTTATGGGATATATAGCATACATAAAAACCTGAGGAGAGAAACATGGATGCTCAATGTGAATGAATCTACTCCCGTCAAATCCATCAGAGGAGAGATAAGATACTGCATATTCAAATGATTTTCGAGGGAGAATTAAGCGTGCAGGGTGCGGCAGGGACATGGAGTTCACAAATACTAAGGAGAATGCATTGCTTCGGAGAAAAAAAATAGGGAGAGCACCCTCAGGTCAACGCTGTATGTCAACAGAGCGCAAATGAGAGAGTAATGAAAACAAAGAAAACAAAAAAGAGTTGAAGGACGCTTCAGGATTTGCTTAAAAAGAATTGAGCGGGGTTAGAAAGATGAAGTAAATGCAAACTAATAATTGCAGGAAGAAGACGGTAAATATAAAAAATAAAAGGGCAGTGTGAAAAACAAAGGAGATCATGCAAGGGGTCTGTTTTTGGATTTCATCTTTCCTGTTCCTGCGTTGTGCCAATGCGATGGTACTCGAAAATAAACATCATTTATATATTGTGGTGCTGTTATGTGTCTTCGGTTATACCTCGGGTATGTATCATTCGTCATCGCGTTTCCGCTTCATAACAGCCTTGAGCATATCAAGCCGTTGTTGCGTTATGATGATGGCGTCCTCTATCTCCCGTTCCGTCATTTTCTCATTCCTCAGGCGAGTCTTGAGCTCTTTTTCACTCATTGGTTGCATCCTTCGCCGCTGCCTTTCAGTTCTTGAATGGCCGACTTTCTCGGATTCGTCGGAAGATGGAACAGAGTTTATGATAGGGTATGCGAGACCGTCCATGCCAACTCTCTCCTCCAACCAATTCCATAGTTCGCTTTCCTCTCGCTGCCAAAGCTCCTCGTACGCAACAATTCGCTCTGGGATGGAAAGCAAGGGAGAACCCACCCCTGATGGTCCAAGGCGAGATGGAGGCGGGCTGCGGAACCAAATCATCACCAATACCATAGCTATAACGCCAGCAGCGACATTACCACTCCAAAAGGGCTGGAAAATGTGGACTATCGGGCCAAGAGGACCACGTAGAGGTTCCAGCATTCCCCAATTTTCAGCTTGTTGTCTCCCAGATTCTGAAGCAGCCTTCGCGCCAGCACCGTTTTCAAATCGGCCAGTATTTGCTTGCTTCCGTTTTCCTCTGGCTCCCTTCCCAGCGCTCTTTGGAAGGGTTGGGCTACGCGACGGGGGAGCTACTCCAGCTCTAAGCGCCTTGACTAGGTCATTTCCATATGTTGTCTGACCATCATTTGCACCCTTTTCGATAGGACCTATTATAGCTATCGTAAGCATTATACATTTCGGTTAGAACGGCGGATGATAGACAAACCTTTGAGCCAACTCTTGCCGGACCATTCTATGGTGCAAGTCATATAGAATCTGGTGGCATTATTAACTGCCCATGTAAACAAGTATTTGGTTTTCACACAGAAAATATTTCCACTTGGCACATCAGGAGTTTGTGTCGTCAACGTAACCAAAACAGCTTTCTCCAAGTCAAGGAAGTCTAAATTCTCGTGACTAGTACACTTCGTTTGCTTCGGTCCGATAGGCGCATTCAGTGGCTTTGTATACGAATACGATCGAGTTTTGTTGTCCATAGATAGCCCCTTTTGGTCATCTTCAAATTGCAGATCAGTCACTTTCTGGTAATCGAGAAGAAACTTGGGTACGAATGAACCAGATGCAGGGCCAAAAACAAGAGTATAAACGAAGCCTAGTGGTGCCAGTATTATTTCGTCTTTTATTACTTTATCATAGCGGCCGGAGGGGTCTGTAAACTCCGTTGGAGCATGAGTAGCAGGGCCGGGAAATGGTGGAAGAGAAGAAGTTGACGCAGCAGCTCCTTTTTCTGGCGCTTTCGCCTCACTTTTGGATGGAGCTTGGGGAATCGAGTAAGACCCGGCCAGTGGAATGTTGGATCCTTTGCGACTGATTCCTTTCTGGGGCTCCGATTTATCGCTGCTAGCAATACCTGCATCAACAGCGTCCAAAAAATTGGTGCCCTCATCCTCCTCATCTTCGTCGTATATCTCATCCTCCTCGTCAGAAGGGCCCTCACTTGCAGCATCACTCTCATCGGCCTTTTCCGTTTTGTCACCAGAGCCCTGTTCTATTCGAGTGCCATTAAGTGAACTCTCGAGTGTCGGGTGGTTGACTTTCCAGATATTAACCATCAAATCATAGGTAGCCTCCCGACTCAAGAGACTTCGAAACGTATGTCGCGCATGCAAAGTTTGGATTGCGATTGCGTTTGGAAAAACAACAGCGGTAGATTCCTTCTCAATGGCTATTATTTCATCGAAACTGATCACTAAAGTCGTCACCCAGCCGAGGATGTTACTCGAGAAGCAGATATGGCCTTCTGATATGTATATGCGGCCAGCCAGGATGATTTCTCGTTGGAGAGCACAACTATAGTCTTCGATGAGGTAATCATCCTCTGGAACACTTCTAAATAGCTGGTGAAAGTCGCGATTTCGCTTTTTACTTGCAACAGCAAAGCCTGTCAAACGTGGAGCACTGGTATTGGCGCCGGGAATGCCCAAGCCAAGCCCTGCCGCCCCAAGCGGACCAATTGTTGCACTCGATGATCCTCGATGTCTGCGTGCCAGGCGACTACGTACGCTACCACTGCGCTGGACACCAGCACCGGTTTCACCTTCGAAAATACTGCCACTTGGGGGGGTTTGTTCGCCAGTACTGCCCTTTGCGAGGCCATTAAACGGGGTGCTGGAAGGAGTACCTGTGCGGAGTAGTTCAGGGGCCGGTTGAGACGTAGATGGCCCATCCGCCGGCTTTTCATACGCCATGGATACTGCATGAGCCGCACGCATATCTTCTATCCTTGCAGAGATTTCATCCCTCTGGGATGCAGTTGCTCTACGAGGGCGGCTAGTAGTTTCGGTTTTCGTAAACACAACACCATCTTTAGTGGTGATCTCCCCGCCCGCTGATGCGTCAATCCCAAGATGGCTAAAATTTAATTCACCCATCCCGAGCGTTTCCACGGCCAATTCCTTTTTCTCTGATGTATCGTCGTCTTGTGGTGGATCTGCAGCTGCTTCGGTGTTAGGTCCACTAATGTTTGGGTTATCTAGCTCCACAGGCTGTGGGGCGGGCTGTGCGCGAGCTTGACTATTCAAACTGTTTCCAAAGTTAGAGGCGGCATTCTGGGCCGCAGAGAGCATGGAGGAAAAGAACCCCTGCGCAGTCTTAGAATCTTCTACAGTTGGTGTTAATGGAGCGGTCATGGAATTCGAAAGTTTACTGGGACTATGAGCAGCAGATGCGGAACGAACTCGTCTATGGGATATCATATTGCCTGAAGAGCTCACAACGGCATTAGGAGGTAAGTTGGGGAAATTTATGGCGGAGTCACTATCTTCCACGAAATTTGTAGACGGCAGCGCTGGGCTTTGGGAACGATGACCAGCTGGAGTTGGTGGAGTCACAGTTGTTACGAGGTCGGGTACAGCTGCGGAAGAAGGGCTCGGGGGAACTGAGGTCACATGCGGTGATTTAGAGGTGAAGGTAGAGGAAATATTCGACGTTGCTACATGTCGGGGTGTTGAAAGCGGTACAGGAGGGACCTCTTCCGAAGGCTTTGGACTATTTTTAGCCGAAGTGCTTGACCTTCTTGACCTAGTCTTGAAAAGGCTTTTACCGCTTTTCGTCAACGGTGATTTATCCAGGTCAGGGCTTGGGCTGCGGCTTTTTTTCGCAGTGTTAGGGCTGAACTGGTTTTTCAGGTTCTGATTCTTTCGGTCTGCACTGGATGACCTGGAGTAAACTCCCATATCCCCCGTAGTTGCAGCATGGGCTAGATGTCGACTTATATCGGCGGCTGTATCGGATGTCGCATTGGAATCCGACGTAGCTTCCGCTGGATCGGGGGGAGCGTTAGTCGTGATTATTAGAGGGGATGAAGCAGTTTGACGCGAATCCAGATGGAGTCCTAAATCAGGAGACGTACGTCTATTCGAGACGGGGTTAGTAGATCGAGTAAGTAGGGGAGTACAGGAAGAATTGGGGATGCGTCAACAGAAAATTAAGTTTGCTGGGAAGAAACCCACCTTCCAGGGTCTGACCCGTTACTTGCGCCATGGTCTGTACTATCTACTGTTGAGCTACTATGATTCCTGCTCATTGACAGAGATGCGCCATCTTCATTGGGGATACGTTGCAGTTCCGTTCCATCCCCGCCACCTTGGAGGATGGGATTTTCCATTCCCATAGTTTTTTTCTTGCGTCGACGCCGTGCCCCTGAAATCAACTTCGAGATGCCAGTAGGAGGGCCATCATAATTATTCCCCTCACCCCCACCTGCCCCGCTAGTTGAAGGGCGCGGGGGTTCATGGTTCGACTCGACTGAAGGTGCGGGACTTCGAACAGATGTGGAGCCATCGACTTCGCTGAGGGAGGTCTTGCTGCGATTCGGCCTTGTAAAGACCCTTTTAAGCCCATTGGCAGAAGGCGATGAAGTTGTTTCGCTCGTAGTGCCGTCCATCGGCGGAATAGGGTAGTGAACTTTCCTGACGGAGTTGATTGAATGTTCAACAATGGGGACTTCTAGTTATAAGCCGGTGACTTGGGGAAGAAATAGCGTTCAGTTCAAACGAAAGAACTGCTATTCCCGGGCCACGGGATAGAGGGCTGGAGGCTCCAGCGAGCGGGGGGCATGGGGAGGAGGACTAGACCAACGCGGGAACAAAGCGGCGGAAACGCTGACGGGGACAGAGTTGGTTGGTGGGAGAAGTTGGACAAGTAGCATCACGGTTCGGGATAGTTCGTGCGACAGAAGGGACACCGGACCTAGGGAAGGGAAAGCATTGCCGTCGTCAACAGGTACAACAACAAGGCAGTTAGTATCGATCACAGGAAAATCATCTCGGAGAGGTTGTCAGGCAGCACTGTAGCCCGCAGGATGAAGTCGGAGAGTTGTTGTGCACGTCGTGGGCGGAGTGTCGGAGTGAGCTTTTGATACGGCTGCGGCTTGGAAATTGTATGCTGATTGGCTGCTGGCGGCAACCCACACAATCTCGACTCGTCTCGTAACGCATCGTGTCCGTATTGGAAATACAGTTACACCGTTACGGATAAATTACTTACACACGGTGGAAAGTTGCTCTGTTGGCAAGAAGATTCTACAGATACGGTGCTGGACAGCTGCTGGAGAGGTGATGGGCAGTTGCTGGGCAGGACTTCTGGATGCAAACGGGACATGGTGCAGACAGAGCTTGCATGTAGTAACCAATAAAACTATTCTCCTATTACATTGTCATGGCAATTAATCCTACAGGTGCAGGGATTTCTATTGCTGGACAAGGCCACACCTCTCTATCCCACGTAATGATGACACGTTTGGAGATATCGAAACATCCCAGACCTGAGTGGTTACTGGTATGTATGTATTGAGTCCAAGGTTCGAGGGCATCGAGATCGTGCTACGCCTCTCGATTTCTCAAGACAGGAGATTTTGTTTTTCCATGTCCACCGAGCAGAGCATACTACCCTTTGTTCAGAAGATTCCATTGTCCAACAAATAGATGTATTCCCTCCGAAGCGTTGTCTTGATAACAGTATATCAGCGGCAGGGGGCTTGCAGACAACCTCCGCCATGGATTTCGAGTTACTCGCGCGTGACTAAGCGGGACAAACTGGCTTCCCAACCCGATTTCACAACTTCCCTTCCGACTCTCTACTATGTTGTTTGTTAATTTCATCTTTCTCGTAGATGCCGATTTGCTGAATAGTGTGTTAAAAGGGCCTTTTGTCAGGGCGGATTATGGAATCATCTCCGTTAACTTTGGTGTGTATCACCTTCTTCATCCCCCACTGGTGCCAGGGCTCGAAGCTGACCCGACTGCCAATACCCCGTCTAGGCACATTCCCATGCCCGAAATGCCCTCTTCGAAACACACAAATCTAACCCAGTAGCTGCCAGCGAGGAACACGACCTTGCGGCCGGAGAATTTTCAACCGCAGCACAAGGCACCCTTGATCCTGAGGTATGTGCGCGGGCACCTGCCTATGTCGTACAAGCAAGCTCTTTCTCACATCGACGGGCATTATAGGCGTTGCGGACCCTCCAGCTCCTCGAGAAACATCACAAACGGCTTGCAGAAATTCTTAGATTTCAGCATGAACACCCTTCGACCGCTTCTCCTGAGCCTACAAATTCACCACCGCCGACCCTTTCAACCGTCCAAACCAGCAAATTTAACGCTCAAGTTGCCGGAGGAGCGTCACATGCTGCAACTTCACCCACAGAGAATGTCCACCAACCACCTCGTCTAGCCACTCACCATAGATCTCTCCAGCGAGATACGAGTTCAATAGCAAGCAATCTGGCATCCGCACGCGGTATTCCTTCCCACCCGCCCCGAGCGAGTCTTGCGTCTCCCGCTGTTTCAACACAGAATGCCGGAGCGAAAATGACTGGTGTTCCAGGGCGCACGAGACTTGATGGTACTGGCCTCGATGCGCTAAACGCCGATTTAAAGTCTTGCCCCGGCTTGGCTTCCAAGCGTAAACTGTCATGGGCTCCAACCAGCCCCACAGATATCGTCGACCAACAAACAGTTCCCCCAGAGCCAAGTGAGACACCTAAGCTTGGTTTTGGATTCTCAACCGATGAGTCGTTCCAGCGCTTTTATTCGACCTTTGAAGGTCTCATATCCAAATTTTCTGCCCCCCTAGCATTTGCTAGTTTGCCTCTGGGCATTGATCCAACCAGCCAGAAATCTGCAGCAAATACGCGCCTCGACCGGAATCCTGCCTCCGCAGACCTTTCCAGCCATCTTACAGAACAAACAGACGTGAGCAAGCTAGTATCGAGAGCTGCACTGCGTGCCCTTCGCGACAGAGATGGCTCTAGCCGCTCACCAGGCCACTCGAATCCTGCAGAATCATTCTACGTCGTCCCTACCGCGGGTGGAACAATATCGTACGCTGGCATTCTTTCCCGAGCTGAAAAGGAAGCCCGTAGGGACAGCCTAGCCGACAGCCGTGACGACGATTTCGTCGATGCGCGCGAAAACCCGATGCCCCCAGAATCTTCGCCTACAGCCCGGACACCGGACAGGGATCGAAAACCAACTGGGGGGAGGCATAAAGGAGCAGGCGCCTCGGAAAGCCGCTCGACACAGGCTGCAGCACATCATCAGGACATGAACACGAAGACCTTGGAAGAACTGCAACTGGAGAACCAGGCGCTGAAGCACCTGTCAGACACGCTGTCCAAGCGGCTGCACATGTGGGAAGTCAACGCGCAGTCGTCGTCATTAGCATTGCAGCAGTCTCTCAAAGCAATGCAGCACCAATCCACTGCCTCACCTGCCCGCCAGCTCTCTCCCATAGCGTCGACTGCGCCGCAAGCATCCCATATTCATGGAGTACAGCCGCCATCACCACCGCCTTTAGCAGCCGGGGCGCTGGTGCCCTCGGGAGAGGGCGCGGCTGCGGGAATGCCGCAATCATCCAACACTGACGTGGCTCGGATTTTAGAGTTGGAAGAGCGCGCACGGAAGAGCGAGAGGGAGTTGCAGCGGGTGGGCCGCGAGAATGAGAAGTTGAGAGATGTGGTGGGGAGATATCGGGATCGATGGGAGAAATTGAAAGAAGGGGCTAGGGTGCGGCGAGAAGGGAATGTAAATGGGAATACCAATGGAGGTGATAGGGGGCCCCCTGCGGCGGGGAACAAGGGTGCTACTGCTGCGGTCGGTAATGCAACTACTACCACTCGAACTACTACTACAGTTGATGAGGGTGCTGCTGCGGTCAATCAAGATGGTGACAGTGACAATGTCACTGCTGATGCAGGCGGCGAGGGTGAAGGAGAAGGCATAGAAGAATCAGATGAGGAAAACGCGAAGGGTTTGCTCGATGATTAGCTTTTGAATTGAATGATTGGGATCCCGGTTTGAGCGGGCTGCTTTGGTTGGGAAGTAATATAACCAACAACTTAGTATTGATTGATGATTACTTCTTCATTAAGGCAAGCCTCGCTTGTTTTCTTTCTACTTGTTATGATGATAAATGTTATCTGGATGTGAGATGATGAATTCAATGAATACATTCGAATAACCCTTTTCTCTTCAGAGTTATAGAACGAATGCTGTCATACGACAGTAACATGGGATACTGAGCTGGCGAAACCGCATGCAAAATGCTGTCAAAAGGATTCCAGACAAAAACCAAAAATGAAAAAGAAAGGAAAAAGAAAAAGCCAAGACAGAAGAGGCACAATAATATCTTAGATTGTGGGAATAATAACGAAATTGGCACCGGAAACCCGGGCTAATCAGGATATCTTATTTAGAGGATAATTAGGTGCAAGAAAAAAAGAACCTAAGTAGACTATAGTCCCCTGTAGCTCTACTCCTCCCAGAGGAGAATTATTTGGAAACAAAAACGTGGGCCGCGCAGGAGGTTCAGAAATATCGCGCCGTAGATCACAATGGAGTATCTGGGGTTCAACTGTCCTGAAAAGATGAACATTCGCAGAAAGTTAACGGAGGAGAAAGGTTTGAGAGAACAAAAAAAATTGAAAAGAAAATGTTGCAAACCATACGTGATCATGCACTGCTGACAAAAGCTCCTGTCCACGAATAAAAATCAAATGCAAATCGAGAGGAAAATGCAAAAACCAATAAGTCTGTCAGAACTAACTGTATATGCATGTTTACCTTTGAACGTATGGATTGCCGAGAAGTGATGGAACAAAAAACCAACCGAAAAAATTCTACAACATGCATGTACTGTAGCCGTCCTAATCCTAGATCTTCGTAATAAGGCCCGTCCCCTTTCGTGGTCAGAGAGGAGTAAAAAATATTAGTCTCCATTCTCGTCAGGAGCAGCAGCCGAAAGTCCAGCCTCCCTTTTCTGCTTATTTTTTGGATTCCCCCGGATACTGCTGCTAAGCCAGCCCAGCCCGTCCCTCCACGAGTCGCTAAGACTCCGGGTCCGAGAATCATTTTGCTTCTTCAGGAGCGGTGAAGCGGCTAGGTTTGGGATCCTGTCTTGCGTACTGGTTTGGTTTGTGCTGGTTGAACCGGTGAGGGATAGGCTTGCGCGGTTAGCTATGCGCAAAAGTTCGTCCTCCTCAGCTTCTGTTGCATTGAGGTTGGTCTCGAACTCGGTTTCCAGCGAAGTCCCTTCTTGGTTATACCTTGTCGCTGCGCCTTCGTTGGAAGCATATGGGATGGATGCTCTTTTCTTGCCCTCTCGCTTCGTTTTCGACAGGGCCCGTTCGCGGTGGCTACGAGGGGAGCCTTCCCTGAGTAGAGAATCTGCAATAACAGCGCTCAGGGTCCCTGAGAAAGGCTGCAGTATTGGTCCAGGAGGGAAACGCTTTGAAGACGAGCTTCGTGATCCTGTGTTCGGTGTTCGAGATGATGTAAATTCGCGACCTGTTGTGGGAGGCGTCTTTGCTCTTGATGGTGGAGCCTGCGGAGGGGTATGCGGGCGAATTTGTTGGTTGGTAACCGCGTGGGATCCAGCAACCCCTGGAGCAGAAGGGAATTGGAGAAGTACCTGAGTTGGAGGAGTGTACATGTGGGTAGGTGTTTGCGGCCCAGAGACAATTGCTGATTCGCCATGGTCCGCAGAGGTTGTTTCCCATGGGTTTTCGGTCAAGAGTGGCTTGGGGCTTGTGACAGGAGATGCTGAGGATGTTGATAATAAGGAGACGCCAGAAATTGATGGCACGGAAGAGGAAGGACCACTAGACAATGGAGCTCGCGGGGTTTGCACTCCGCCGTCTTTAGAATGATTGTCTTCATCACTCATATGTGAGCGGGGACGATGGTCGGTAGCTTGAACAGCGGGACCAACGGTCCCTTCCAGCGATTGCTCTGCCCGTCGCTGCCTTCTTTCGGGCTGCCAATCAATACTATCGCGGTATCGATCTCCATCGAGAAGACCAATTGCCTCCTCGTCACTTTCCGATTCGGAATCGGACTCATCTGCCCGGCTTCTACCACTAGTTATAAGATAGACTCCAAGGAACGTGAGTGAACAGCCTCCAACGAATTTCTCTGCCCGTGCAGGGGAGGTCGACTCGAAATCCCGGTAGAGGACAGCGCTCCCAAGAATCACTGAAATGGTAAATAATACAAACTGGGTAGGGATAACTTGGGTGGAATCGAATCTTTGCAAAGCACGATTGATGTATCGTATCTGCATCACAGCACTGAAAACAAGTATGGCCACCAGGGCGTACGTGATAGGGAACGTAATGACGTGCCATAAAGTGAATGACAGCAAGGACGCAACGCCCTTTGTCGACAAAGCAGTATATCCGCCTAACGATGTAATAAGCTTGGATTCATCATTATAGTTTCAGACATAGGTACATATATATATATACTTACCGAACAATCCAACCAAACCCAAATCAATTAGGATAGATTTTCTCCCATACTTGTAGCTAGCCCACATCAACACCAGGATCAATGCAATTGTGAGTCCAAGGTATAATTCAAACTCCCACGTCGTTATCATGCCCCAAATCTCACCAGGGCCTATTTTGGTTTCCGAGGTTTTAGCACTGAGTACAATTGTAACTGCGCCCGCAATGGAAACCAGCACCCCAAGCAGATCTCGTTGGCGGAAAGTCTCTTTAAGCATGAATGGAGCAATGAGGCAATTTGAAATCAGCGCCACGACCCCTAGAGGTGAAACGATAGATGCAGGTGCAAATCCATATGCAAGGAAATTACCGGCTTCTCCGATAGTCATAAGAATTATGCCGGTCCACCAGTACGGAGATTTAAGATATGACGTTCGTTCCTTGGGGATCTGGCTCTTCTCCAATGGCGTTAACGTCCGGTCTGACATGAATGACTGGTTGAGCCTGTCAGCGTCCGGGTTACTGCCATTGAGAGAATTACCCCTCTCCCTATCTCCCTCATCTTCGTCTGTATATCGATTAAATCCCAATCTTTCAATTTCCTCAAATCTAGTAGATCGTCCATTTGTCTCCGCCTGAGCTGTGTCCGCATGGTCTTGTCCATTTGTGTCCCCGCCCTCATCTTCGCTCGCAACTGCGCCATAAGTGCTAGATGATAACAGTACTGACTGTGCCGTGTGCCTGGAGGCACTTTTCTTCCAACCGTTTCGATAGCGGTTCCGTTCGAATTCCCGTTCAATGCGTATGTGCGCATAGCGTTGGATATTTAACGCAAAGGAAATAAAAACGTTCCCAACGATGGCTGTTACAATACCT